GGGACAGGGGAGGAGGGGGAGAGAACGCTATGGGACAGGGGAGGGTGGAAAGAACACTATAGCGGAGGGGACAAAGAACACTATGGGGGAGGGAGAGGAAGAATACTATGGGACACGGGATTGGGGGAAATAACACTATGGGACAGGGGAGGGGGGAAGAACACTAAAAAAGTGGGAGTGTAGAGGAACAGTAGGGGGGAGAGAGGAACATTAAGGGGGATGTGGGGCACTAAGAGATAGGTAAGGGGGAGGGAAGAGGAACACTAAGGGACAGGGGAGGGGAGAGAGGGGAGAGTAACACTAATGGACAGGGAAGGGAGGGAAGAGGAACACTAAGGGACAGGGAAGGGAGGGCAGAGGAACACTAAGGGACAAGGAAAGGAGGGGAGAGAAACACTAAGGGACAGGGAAGGGAGGGGAGAGGAACACTAGGGGACATGGAGGGGAGAGGACCATTAAGGGACATGAAGGGGAGAGGACCACTAATTGACATGGAGGGGAGGAGAGAGGAACACTAAAGGACATGGAGGGGAGAATTGCACACAAGGGGCCTGAGTGGGGAGAAAGACACACAGAGGGACATGAGGGGGGAGAAAGTCCACAGAGGGACTGGGGATGAAAGCTCCACACAGAAGGGCCTGTGAGTGGAAATACAAAGTGGCTGGGTGTGAAAGAGACACAGAGGGGTTGGAGAAAAGGAAAAAAAGATACAGAGGGCCTGAGGGGAGATAGACGGGCTGGTGGTAAAAGAGAAATACACAAAGGAGCTGATTAGAGTAAAAGACACAAAGGGACTGGGAGAGAAGGAGACACATAAATGAGCTGTGGGAAGTAACACAAAGGGGGTTAGCAAGAAATACACAAGGGAGGTGTAAGACACAGAATGGGGAAAATATAGGAGATGAGACACTAAAGGGGGTAAGACAGTTTAAAAAGGGGTTAAGAAACAAAAGGTGGGTTAAGAGGCACACAGGTGAAGATGCTTTTGTGGGGAAGAGGGGGGGGGCTCCAAAATCATCTTCGCCTGTGTACCCAAAAGTCCTTGCACCGGCCCTGCATCTAGAGTGCTCTGACATTAGCCTTCCATTAAGTTTTAAACCATTTTTGGTCATTTCACTCAGGTCCAGTGCAAGGATTTTTAGCTACACAGGTGAAGATGGTTCAAGAAGTTAGCGGCTGGAGGGGAGCGTAGTGCGTAGTTAGCCTGACATTGCGCCCCCAGGGCCGGTGCGCCCTAAGGCAGCCACCTGGGCAGCCCTATGGTAGCGCCGGCCCTGAGCTTAATATTAAATGACTTGCCCTGGCCAGCCACAGACCAGATCCCACAGAGTTATGGCTATTGCAGAGACTACTCATTTCCTACTAGCCATACCAGTCCATACCAACAATAGGTGCTGTGATAAGCTGACACTTATCACAGCCACCCATTGCTGCTCATGCTAATGCTTCCTCGTTAGATCAAGCAGCACAGAGGAAATGGGCTGCTGGGGACTCTCATTTAGCATCATAACATTAAAAACAATTTAATACTGAATGCATGGATGGTGCCAGGGGACTCCAGAAATTATAACCTCTTCAATGAGATTAAGCAGTTACAGTGCCTGTGGTTTCCTTTTAAAGACGTGGTTTAAGCTTTGAAAATTGAGACAAAGATTGTAGTTCAGCTGTCAGCTTACACCTTCTGAAGCCACAGGTCCAGTATGGCTGCAACACTTCAAGCATTCAGAATGCAACTCCCATGAAACCTCCCTTGTTGCTTGGATAGTGCTGAGAGTGGAATCCTCACATCCAGTTGCTGTTTCAAAATTCTGTGTATATTCTTCCTTCATGCTGGGGCAATAAAAATAAGACAGGTAAAATGCCAATCAGGCCACAAGACAACTCCTATGAGGCACTTGGGGGGAAAAATGCTATATGCTCCTGAAGCCCATACATGTTATTTCATATTAAGGCATTTCGGCTTAAAGAAACATTTCCATCCCCATAACAACTTAAAGGAAAACTTAAATAAAAATTGAGTGGGTGATTACAATTTAGTAGATCTATCCACAAAAGAAAACATGCATGTATTGTTTGCATGTTTCATGTATATGAAAATACAGCCTGCCCAAGCAGTAGAACATCTGTCTGCAGCCTTTGCAAGCCCTCCCCGCTTTCAAAGTATACACCAATTAGAGGCTGTTCATTGAGAAGCCTCTTTTCTGGAGCCATGAGCATGTGTGTGCATGTGAGGGCGGCTTTGCTCTGCTTCTCAAAAAAGTGCCATTCCCATTACCAAACTTAAGTGTACGTTATGTGTCTGAAGGGTTCCTCTAAGCAGATTAAAATTGTTATGGGGTGGGAGTGTTCATTTAACACTGATTGAACAATGTTTAACTTTTGCAACTGTAATGCCTGCCTTATTTGTGTCATACGGGGTCCAGTTACTTTTATTTATTTTTTAACCAAGATTAATCTTTTGTTGATCTATCAAATGCAGATTTCTGTTTGTAATTCAACACGATCACACCGTCAGATTATGACTAAAACTATTAATGTCTACCTTTTATAGAACTCTTAGCTGTAATACTAATCTACTGTACTGTGGTGAAAACTTAAGGAGATAATGGATAGCCTCGCTGACCTGTACAAGAGCTATAGCAGGTTTGAACAAGGAGAACACTCAGTCAACTATGGAATTTGTAACAGCGGAAAAGCAAAGGTAGAGCATGTGATTTACTCAGAATTGAAAATAAGCATGATAATTTCTTTATATATATATTGCCCAGGTTTTAAACATATATGCTAACTTTAAGGCTTTTTCTTTTTAGGAAATCAAATGTTCTTTGCTGTGAAAACAGAAACAGGAGATCCAATACACGGGAGGGTTGGACAGGTTTCGGATCGGTTTTATTTTGTATTCTTTCTTCTTGTTCTAGCAAACAGGAAGATTTGTCTAAATGTATGTTTGTTTCTTTCTTTCTGTCTCGCTCTTCTTTATTTCTTGTTTTGTTTGTACATGGGAGCAGAAACTTTTAACTTCTTTGCCTCTTGCGGGCGGAAATGAAGATGATTAGATGTGCAACAATAAGCACGCAGGGATTGAAGTACCCCAATAAAAGAGCATTCGTTTTTGATTATCTCAAAAAAGAACGTATAAAAGATATGTTTCATACAAGAAACACATTGGAAAAAACTGAGAATACTAAATTTATACCCTCTAGATATTTTTAGCATCTTTAGAACATTAAAAAAGGGGAGTTACAGTCCTAGTCCACCTCCAAGAGGTAGATGAGGAGGGAAGATACGTCATCATAATTTGTGATATTTAAGGTTTTAGATATACTTTGGTACACCTATATGCACCTAATGGTGATTAGGTAGGCATGTGTTACTTAAAATTGTAAAGAAGCATAATACTTTATTTATTTATAATTTTGCTTAGTTTTTGAACATTTATGTGTAACTAAGGTGTTTATTGGTAATCCAATATGTAGTCAATATTACTAAATCAATATATAGCCACAGAGGATCTATCATTTCTTGTCCAGTGACTTTATATCAATAAGAATTTTATAGGCATAGTAAATATACACTGATCAGCAACAACATTAAACCACTGACAGGTGACATGAGTAGCATTGATTATATCATTACAAAGGCACCTGTAAAGAGGTATAAATGTATATAAGCTATGTATTACCCAGTTCACTTGTTTGAAAGCCTGGACATAGGCATCAAATGTATGTAACGCTAGAGTTTGGAACATAAAGTTCATCTATCATCTGCTTTGCGTGAGGTTTTTTTTTTACCAAATAATTTCTTAAACACTACAATACATCTGCATGTACACATCAATAAACATAGATCACTTTCCATGTACAGTATTGTTGTTTTAATAAAACAAGACTTTTTCCACAGTGAAATTATTTCTTACCCTGCAATATTCTTGTGACTCTTTTGTAATTCTGTTTCACTATTTTCTAGTTTTGATGAAAGGGTATTATTGTTCGATTCCGTGTTGAGATTGCCTGGTGTACTTTTTGTGTCTACCTGATGTAAGATGTTTTCATTAGCACCATGAATCTTTCCCATTTTTGCAAGTCTGGATTTAGCTCTGCTGACTTCTTCCTTCAGAGACATGAGGCTTCCAATCAGACTGTGCGTAGCCTCCATGACTGTAGAGGATAAATGACTAGGTGGTACCTGTATGACACACAGATAAATGTATTACTAATTCCACCAGGTCAGTTGTCTATTAGTAACCCTTTAGAGCTTTCACAATTAGACAACTAGTAAACTAACAGTATTATGTAGTCCAGTATACATACAAATATTTTTAATTTAATAATAATAATGATATTTAAATATCCACTGCTTGAAGAACACCATTCATACACTCTGCACCTAAATGTGAGTTTTATTGCCAAGGAGCTCTGTGATACATTATTACATGCAAACAACTCATTGTAGTAAACAGAGCACTGAAGGGGATGAGAAATGTAAACAAAGACACAAAAGGTGGAGGCCAAGTGCCAAATACCCTAGGTAAGCTTTTGATACAACCACTTTTCCCATGAAACAGGTCTCAAACACAAACTGAAAGTAGAAATTCACTTACTATTTCTTTTTCCATGCATTTTTCATTAGGGTTCCCATCGGTATGAATTGTATCCTGTATTGTCAAAGCACCTTTTGGGCTCTCTTTTTCAATCTGCTCAGTAGTATTTTTTCCTTCGCTGTCTGGTTCTTCTGAAAGATCTGCTCTCTCAGTTTTCTCCTTTGCATAATTAATGTCTTTATATGATTGAAGGTTGTCCTGCTTTATAATGTCCTTCTCATGGAGGTGTACATCGTCTTCAGAGTGACCAGCATTTTTAATTACCACTTCTCTAGGTATTAAAACTCCATCCACTTGATCTTTCAATGCATATGTTTTTACTGTCATGTGTGATGTTTCTTCTTGATCTGTATTTGGTTTTACATCATACATCCTTCCAGCTTCCTCCATTTCTTTTTCAGTAGTCTAGGGGAGAACAAATATACAATAATTATACTTCCTTTAGTAATGACAATTACAAAATATAAAATCTAAAAACAATAGGAGAGGGTAAAAAAATATATACAATACTAAGTTGTCATGAAATAGCAAGAAAGTGATATAAATGATCAGCAGTTTTGAGAAAGGTTAATTTGCAGTGTCCTCCAACCCAAATCCATTGACACAATGTATCTCTATATTCAAAGTGATGACTTCCAAATACATAAAAAAATGTGGTGCTCGTCACCAAGTATTACAATAAAAGCGTATATATGCAGGCAGATAGCTGGGTAATGTTACCACTCCGTTCAGGTGTCGTCCGGGACACTTTCTGGTGTGTAAGCCGAAAGGTGATCCTCCCTGTTTGGAAGAACGCCAACGTGGATTTTATTGTGGTACTTGGAGACGAGCACCACATTGTTTTAATGTATTTGGAAGTCATCACTTCAAGTGAATATTGAGACAAGAGTCACCAGCGATCCCTGTTATAGTCAAGCTTGAACAACTGTCTTTTTTTGTATTACACCAAAACTATCACTAGGGGTCTCCATTTACCTGATACTATAGCTCTTATTCCTATTGTGAGGTAGCTTAGGACTAGAAAAGCAACAATAGTAACATAATATAATACAGAAGACTACTCCAAAAGCTTCAATTTAGAATACAGTATTTCAATACTAGTAAAGCTTTTTTGAACTAGATTGTGTCAGAGACACTACAGAAAGTAATGTGCTGAGACAGCTGTTCCCTTTTCTGGCCCTCACCCAAAGACTAAATATATCAGGAAGTAAATTTAACAATGTACTTGACGTTCGTTTCACCCGCCATGCTGGAAACAACACCTTAGTTCCAATATAAATGATCAATTGTGGAAACATATAAACTCATAATTGCATTCGTATAAGTACACAGGTGTAACGAATGCTGGTATTTCAGATACACGTTCATTCGTTTCCTCCCGAACTGCTAGAGGCTGAGTGATTATAGCTTACAGTTCGGGTGCTGAGCCGAACGTTCTCCAGAAGAAATTCAGCATCCAAGTAAATTCACCAAGCAGATCAGACGGATACCCAAACATCAGCCTAGACTAGATGAAGGGTACAACAGGAATTAATTTATTCAGGCCAACTGGCAAGTCCTCATGCACGGGGTTTACAGTGACATATTCCAGGGGCATTCCCCACTGGACCTGAGAGGGAACTATGACAAAATAAAACTGCAATCTTTAAGTTTGGATTCAAATATTGTTGAATGGGTAAGGCAATGGCTGAGTAACAGGCAACAGAGGGTTGTAGTTAATGGAATATATTCGAAGCTTGGACTTGTCACCAGTGGGGTACCTCAGGGATCTGTACTTGGACCCATTCTCTTTAATATTTTTATTAGTGATATTGCAGAAGGTCTTGATGGTAAGGTATGTCTTTTGCTGATGATACTAAGATATGTAACAGGGTTGATGTTCCAGGAGGGATAAGCCAAATGACAAATGATTTAGGTAAACTAGAAAAATGGTCAGAATTGTGGCAACTGACATTTAATGTGGATAAGTGCAAGATAATGCATCTTGGACGTAAAAACCCAAGGGCAGAGTACAGAATATTTGATAGAGTTCTAACCTCAACATATGAGGAAAGGGATTTAGGGGTGATTATTTCTGATGACTTAAAGGTAGGCAGACAATGTAATAGAGCAGCAGGAAATGCTAGCAGAATGCTTGGTTGTATAGGGAGAGGTATTAGCAGTAGAAAGAGGGAAGTGCTCATGCCATTGTACAGAACACTGGTGAGACCTCACTTGGAGTATTGTACACAGTACTGGAGACCGTATCTTCAGAAGGATATTGATACCTTAGAGAGGGTTCAGAGAAGGGCTACTAAACTGGTTCATGGATTGCAGGATAAAACTTACCAGGAAAGGTTAAAGGATCTTAACATGTATAGCTTGGAGGAAAGACGAGACAGGGGGGATATGATAGAAACATTTAAATACATAAAGGGAATCAACACAGTAAAGGAGGAGACTATATTTAAAAGAAGAAAAACTACCACAACAAGAGGACATAGTCTTAAATTAGAGGGACAAAGGTTTAAAAATAATATCAGGAAGTATTACTTTACTGAGAGGGTAGTGGATGCATGGAATAGCCTTCCAGCTGAAGTGGTAGAGGTTAACACAGTAAAGGAGTTTAAGCATGCGTGGGATAGGCATAAGGCTATCCTAACTATAAGATAAGACTAGGGACTAATGAAAGTATTTAGAAAATTGGCAGACTAGATGGGCCGAATGGTTCTTATCTGCCGTCACATTCTATGTTTCTATGTTTCTAAAATACATACTGTAAGTACATTGGCTCTCAGGTCCAGGACACTCCCATGTAAAATAGGATAATCCTTCCCTGTGCTTGGGAGATAATGGAGTCAAGGATTGTACTAAACTCTATCTCAAGGCACACAAAAAAACATACATTTCAACAAAACCCATAAAGTACCTTAAAAGCCATGGAAACCCCACAAAAGTCATATCCCCTGATATCCCCGATCTGGGGGACCAACATATTCAAAAATTACCCAGATCGGTTTAGGGGTTCGGGATTTCCACGGAGGTGATAATTTGACCGACTGCACACAAGATCCAATGCCCAAAACTGGTTCCACAGTTTCAGAGGTAGCAGTCAGTCCATTTAGGGAAGTCTAAAAATTCATGAACTGTTCCCCTGGCTCATGGTGTTAATGGCAAATGCAAATATTGTATTTCTCAAACTGTGTACTTTGTCTTTAAGAGATATTGCAAACTGACAAGGTGTTAGAAATGGAACATATTGTTTTTCATACAGGTTTCTTTAAGCAATAAACTTTTACCTACTTTCAGTGCAAAATATGTTTACGCCATTTTGTCCCAGACTAAATACAATAACTATAATGCATACAAGCTTCAAGACTATGCTACAACTCTTTCAGTACACAATATATTGCGGTAACCCTAAATAGATAAAGATGTTCAGACTTGCCTAAGTCAGGGGGTGGTCGGAGAAAAATCAAAGTTAACTAACTAAGTGTGTGATTTCTTCACACCAGGCTAGATCATCCCTTTGTAAAACCATCCTCACATGATGTATTTTGTGTTATTTGCTACCCTAGCTCAATTCAAGTTTATTTACCCTTCCTCCTATATATATAACTAAAAAAATATTTAATCAAAGTGGCAAAATAAAGGCAACAATTACCAAACTCAATTGTAGTCTCGACTCAGCTATTTTACTGTCAGTTTTCACTTTGTTCCCTCCAACAATCTTCATTACATTGCAGATTCGGGACAGGGTGAGTGGGCAACATGAACCATGTCACAAGCAACACCAATAATGGTCGGGCCCAGGACAGACATGCTTCTGAGCGTATATCACAGGTTTTTGGACAAGCTTACTAATTATTAAATTCAGGTGTGTCAGCTTTACCAATTGCACCAACAACAGTATAAACTCCAGCAGGTGAAATCTATGTAGACAAACATTGCCAGTAAATTGGTCATACTGCAAAGCTCAGTGAGTTTAAATGAGGTACTGTCTTAGGATGTGACACTATGCCACAAGTCAGTTTGTGGAATTTCTAACTTACTAGATCTCCTAGGTTAACTGTAAGTGCTATTATTGTAAAATGGAAGTGTCTAGGAACAACAACAACCCATCCATAAAGTGATAGACCACAAAGACTCACAGAGCAGGGTATCAAGTGCTGAAGCACATAGCTCATAAAAATCATCTATCGGCTGTTGCATCACTCACAACAGAGTTTGAAACTACCCATAGACTCAACATCACTATAACAACTGGGTGTTGGGAGTTTCAAGAAAAGGTTTCCATGGACAAGCAACTGTATACAAGTCTCAAATCAACATGTATATCTTTTATTATTCTCTTCACCCTCCCACACACACAGGGTAAAGGAAGACTTAATGCTTAAATTTACATTTAGTGCTTACTGGCTGAGTGAGGTTCTCTCCGAGCCTGTGAGTTGAGTGTCTTTTGAGGCTTCTTTTCATGTATGCTTCTTCCACTTTTACTTTTAATGACATTAGACCTGCTATTAGGGTTTCTGTTGCTTCACAGATCACAGATGTGGCAAGCTCATCCGGAGATCCCTAAAACACCAATGTACATGCCATCACGCCATTGAGTAAATGTATAGTATAGGACTACTGAATCAAAGACTAGTGATGTCCTGAACAGTTCGCCACGGACTCATCATTGAGTAAACTTTGACCCTGTACCTCACAGTCAGCAGACACAATCCAGCCAATCAGCAGCAGACCCTCCCTCCCAGACCCTCCCACCTCCTGGACAGCTCACTAAGAATGCAGCTTCACAATGAATGTAAAATGTATGCTGTCCAGGAGGTGGGAGGGTCTGGGAGGGAGGGTCTGCTACTGATTGGCTGGAATGTGTCTGCTGACTGTGAGGTACAGGGTCAAAGTTTACTCAATGATGAGTCCGCGGCAAACCGTTCACGGCGAACCATTCGGGACATCACTATCAAAGACACAATTTTACACGGTCTTAATTAATCAAATATATATATTATGTAATAGTCCAAATCTCTTGATATATTGTCGTATATATGTTTACAATGTAATGGCATAGCAATTCAGTTCAAGTTCAGTTTCACATAAGGCTTTTTTTTTCTCTTTTTTCCAGTCTGTCTTGATGATATTAAGGAAAAAAGAAAAATCAGCGAGCAAAGGGCAATGTACTCCTCTAAACAGTGTGTTCCAGACTGCTGCTAGCACTACAAACAGCTAGACCAGGAGCTGGCAACCTCTGGCACTCCAGATGTTTTGGACTACACCTCCCCTCATGCCTTACCAGTATTATGGCTATAAGACCATTAAAAGAGATGTATGTTGGCCAAAACTTCTGGAGCACTGAAGGGGCCTAACCCTGAGCTAGACAGACAAACTGTTTTCTGTAAAATACCAGGGAAATACGGTAGCTCAGACTCGAGGAATGATTATCAATCAGTACCTAAAGAATTTCAAACTGCTCTGTCATTGGTTTTGCTTTTTTTTTTTGCCCCCCTTTTTTTATTTGACTTCAGAGTCCCCTCAATGTATTTTTTTTCAACTTGTCCCCCCTTTGCACCTTATATTTCTGTTATTTTAGATACTCATCCCAGCCAATGCCACCTTCCTCAGCCTGATAGTTATGTTGTGTCTCTGCATTCCTCTACCCTTCCTTCTCCATGGGAGTTAGATTTAAGCTCATGCCTACTTGTACTTCTACTCCAATGGTTTTGGGACACTCACGAAATCTAATCGTATTCTGGTAAAAAAAAAATGTAAGATTTATTTTAAGAGAGTGCTCCTAATCTCAGCTTGATTTCTATATAAAAGACACGTGGGAGACAGAAATCTTGCTGATAGATAGGGGATCAAATACTTATTTCACTTATTGACATGCAAATCGATGTTTGTTGTTGTTATTCTGTCTCTCACTGTTAAAATACACCTACCATTAAAATTATAGACTGATCATTTCTTTGTCAGTGGGCAAACATTCAAAATCAGCAGGGGATCAAATACTTTTTCCCTCATTGTATAATACAATATTATCATATTAACAGCTGATCTGATATGTTCTAGCGTTACCTTTTCATTCACCTTGCTGCTTATCCCTCCTTTCACATTTTGCACATATGGTTCCCCACCAAGTCCAGAGGGATTTTCATTCACCTCTGCTGCACTTACAGTATTTGATAGGCCACTCTTAGCTAATCCATCCTTTCTTTCAGTTGTAAGCCTTGATTCATGGTTCTTTTTTTCACTGTCTGTGTAAATTGGTATTTTGTCTATTTCCATTTCTTGTTTTTGAAAGCCCGTTTCTCTGTTTTCTTCTGTCAGAAAATCTCCTGCGTGTTCTCTTTCGGTTGATGTAACTTCACTGATGTTTATAACTATACAATCATTAAATTCACCATTAAGATAATACTCTTTGTTTAGTGTTTGTGTAACATTTCTCGAAGCCTGTGATTCTTCTCCCTTTGTAAATTCCAATGTTTCTTTTATGACTTTTATATTTTCATTCACATCTCGACACTCCACAGCATCTCCTTGGCTATCATTATTCCCCTTGGTTTTTAGATTTTTATTGACTTTTTCCTGGTCTGTATGAAGAGTTCTGGCTTCTGAATCTGCAACAAGCTGTGAAAGATTAGATAAAGTGCAGCGTGTGAAATGATAAATGGGCAAGTTCATCTTTTTTGTATAATTTTGCAGTAGAGTCCTAATGAATAGTAATTTCTATTGTTACAAGAAAATTTATATATATTTTTTCCAAAAATAGCAAACAAAATGCAGGTTTCACTGTTAAATTGAGTATTCATTTTGGATTGTTACCCAATACTGTTAAGTCCCTGAGGAAGTCCTTCACACAGAAGAAACGCGTAGGACGCCCAGTGGTGACTCTCAAAAGGGTGCGCAGCCTATTGCATTTTGTCTAGAAGAGCATTGGGACTAAAATGAGCAACACTGCACCTGGACCTGGACAATGACACAGACTTGGCTATTGTTGGGTCCGGCAGCATCACCAGTGAGGAGGTAAGGAGAGCGGCATTTCAAATATGTAAATTAACCCCCTCATTACCCCTTCCCTCTAGCTGTGTGTCATTTTGTTCCTCTATAGCTCGGACAGGGGATTAGGGGGAAAGGTGACACGTGGCTTTTGATGGTACACACCATCAAAGCGCTTAGTTTGTCAATTAAAAACAAATACCTATTCCCCAAATATTTTAATTGTAAAGTATAATGCTAAGTGAGCATTGAAAGTCAGTGGAAAAAAGACAAAGGGGCTGCAATCAGCACTCATGGACTGTGGTTATCAAACTGTTTATTTTAAAAATAAAGTCATCTCACACCAAAAAAAGCATCGCCTCACCTTCTCCCTGAGTTGTGTTAAAGCAAGTTGCTCCTTCTGTGTGAAAGGCTGTAGTGACTGTATGAGGTCTGACACAGGATCAGGTCCTTCTGGAACAGAACCTCCCGTCTTGTGCTCAGTTTGCAGTTCCTGCTGTCGGTGGATTTTGAAAAGCATATATTGTTTTACATATCGCAAGTAGCTATTGAGGTTCTCAGAGCGACCACCATTTAACTATTACTATGGAAATATTATGAATAAATGTGACTTGCTTTTCTATTATTCAAAGTATAAGTGACTCCGGCGGTTCCTATATCGGGAGCCTTTTAATATAAGCTGTTACATTATATGATGTTTTGCGAGCCATCACGTATGTACTGTGCACATTAGGAGTTGTGGCTATAATACCTCCAGCACACTAAAAGACTTTGAAGTTTTGCACTTTATTTTGGAACTGAGCAACAGTTATTACAATTAATACTAATAGCAATTTTGTACTTGAGACTGCTATTTATATTCATTGATTTTGGGATTGCAATTTTATCAGGTTCTGCTATACACTATACTAATGTCTGTTATTATATTATTTTTATATGTAGACTTTTAGTCTGTGCTCATCTTGAACCATTTCCAATATTAGTTTGTTTGCACATGTTCTATTTGATTGTTAACTGTCTAATTAGACTGCATGCTATCTTAGGGTCCCTCATATTGATGTATCCATGTTTATAATACATCTTTAATAATAGATAGATATATTTATGTATTTATTTATTTTTCTGTTTCCTCCTGAGACACTGCCCTTGGTATAGCAATTTTGGTCCTTGTTGCATTTGAGTAGTAATTTCTTTTCATCCTGGGGTGGGGGCTTTGGTAACCAGTTGGAATCAGGTGTACAGGTGTTTTATCATTATGATGATTTATTTATATAATATTTATCTATTTTCCTTTTCCAACCATTTTTTGGAAGTATAAATAGTATATTTTCTTTTTTTCTTTCTTACATTTTTCATTAGTGTCAATCTTTCTATTCCTAGAACCTTCCAAAAGTCATAGTTTCACCTGTAAACAATGTCTAAATTCTAACAACTTTCACTCTTGACCCAGCAACATCCCCACTTTTGTAAAAACCACTATCCAAAATTAATAACCAAATTTGCTTTTGGTGGAATTAAGAATGTATTTTATCATACAGATATCCCACCTCCTCAGCCAAGCTGTGGATGAATTCCCTCAACTCGAGTTCCTGCTTTAGCTGCACCTGTACTAGCAGTCTTATTGCACAATCTCCCCAAGTCACAGTCCCCCGTTCTTCTTGCAAGCAGGACTTTGTCACAGTCATGGCCAGGAGAAACAATTGCCTCAAAGGATCTCGGGTTCCTGGTATGGTGAAAGCTACTGATTAAGAGACAATACTGGATTGATTGGTTAGTATAATTTTTTACTATGATCAAAACAATAATATGTTTACTTTACAAAAATATCCCTCTCCCGTTCATCCAAGTGTGGTATTGAACTATGTGCTGTTTTCTACTAAACAGAAAAAAAAAACATGTCTACAAAAAATGTACCATTATAATGCTGTCATATCTAAGAGACAAAAGTTTGGTCATAATAGGAGCTGCAATTTCAGAAATGTTCCTGTGTAACCATTTCCAAAAAGCTATCACCACTAGGAAAACCTTACAAACAATTCCATGGTGGTTAGGAAGAAACCATAACAAAAAAAGGAGAATTGGTGGCTTTATTTTTAACACCTTAGGGCAGGGCAGCCATTGGAATGGTATTAAAAAGGCATTATTTCACAATTTTCTAAATTCTTATTTCCACATACAGAAGTTATGTTACTAGCAGGAGAAGGTACAGAGAAGGTCTTACATTTTTGAGATCACTGCTGTGTTCAAATAGTCTTATGCAAAATACTGTTAAGAATCTATTCTGTCATTTAGTTAGCATGCGTTACTGAATGGTCTAACTAGAATATTATGTTTTATCCCTTACCCTTGCCAATATTTTCTGTGTGGTCCATTGACTCTTCACAGTGCAGGATTGATGAAGGTTTCTCAAGTTCCGAATGGTTGCAGCTTTGTAATAATTGGAACAAGAGATTTCTAACCTCTTCTTGTTTCATGAGGATAGCTTCAAGTTTATTTTCCTGAGTGAAAATGAAGTACAGTCTCCCATTACCATCATACACAGACCTCCTCTTTAACTTATAATAGTCAACCAAAGCATGCTTATATTGTTAAAGGACATGCATCCATTTGAGACAGCTGACTCATTCAAAGACTTTGTCTGTGAACAAGATAGTTATCTCATTCTGCAGGCATCAAAAACAGGTAATTATGATTTTGTTTTCATATCTACCTGCTTTTTCTTTACTGTGCTTTCCACGTCTAACTTAGGAGGGACACTGATCTAGTTAATCAGTGTCCTATCCGTAGGTATAGTAGAAAATCACATTGCAAATGCACGACTTGGTCATGTATGTGCAATTGAAAGATCTCCAGATATTGCGACATGCATACCGGGCGTGAATGCGAATGTCAATTCCACCTGCTTGAATGGAATTTATTGGTTGAGAGCATCAGGAACTATGGAATATGTATATTTCGGCAAGTTCTCATGTGGCCTAGATTGACCCTTTAATGTCTTGCATACTACTTAATAGCAAAACAATGTAAAGCTTAAAACTTTTTGTAGCAAATGTTTCAACCAGGACAATGCTCACTAGTGTAGAGGCTTCTGAAAACCTTACTTTTATAATTACAATTCTAATAATATAATAATTATTATCTTTTATATATATTTATTATTAACTTTCTTTTGGAAAATGTAGTACAAAGGCTACAAGAGATTGTTATGGGCAAATGCAAATATTACAAGTTTTAGAATGAAATGTTGTATTTCTTAAACTGTGTACTTTGTTTTTAAGAGATATCGCAAACTGACAAGGTGATAGAAATGGAACATATTGTTTTTCATAACTGTTTCTTTAAGCAATAACCTCAGTGTATATTATGTTTACGCCATTTTGTCCCAGACGAATTACAATAACAATAATGCATAAACAAACTTCAAGGCTATGCTACGACTCTTTCAGTACATAATATACTGTGGTAACCTTAGTAGATAAGGATGTTCAAACTTTGGGATGCCATCTTGAACTAAGTCAGGAAAATTTCCATGACGTACACACCCTTTAGTTATGGACTTGTATTTTTGCCAAGTTAAGGTAGGTCCTAAAATGAATAAAGTAAAAAAGGTACTTTTTCATATATGAACTACAGTGACCCTAAAATGAAGACACCTAAGGTATAAATAGGTGTACTTTTAAATGTTAAGAGACAGAGGAGAGACTTGGAGACAGACGCTGCTCCATCTTAAAATGACAGAGAGGCTCACATGATGACATGTTCAGGAGGGTATGTTAACCTTTTAATGATATTTGCAAGCATTTAGTTTAATCTTAGAAACTCTTATATAATGGATTTTATATGTCTATATTTATATTTTTATATAATAAATATCTAAAAAGACAAAACTTTATTGCTTCCAAGACAATCCTTATTTTATATTGTATTTTCCATTATTTATATATGTTAGATAGAGGATCTCTTACACTAACTATATGAAATTATGGCTAAGATATCTGTATGGTTAGCACTACTAAGGTCTATGCTTTAAGATGTTATAGTGGTAAATAAGGGAACCAGCCGCGGTTACAAAATTATCGTAAAAAAATGTGCCAGTTCTGCATGTTTATTTATAGTAGTAATAATGAGCAAACATATTTATCATACCTCTGCTGAAGTGTTTTTCCTTAAACATGGCATTTTCTCCACTTTTGATTTCGATGATTGGCCTGTGGTTAGTCGGATATGAGCAAGTTCCTCGTGGCAAGATTCCAAGCACACCGGACTATTATCCCAGAATCTTATTTAAAATAATAGAGATAATAGAAATCAGGGCACAACTTTTAATGCTACAACTACAAAAAAAAACCTTACAAAATATTTCACTTACTGAATCACTGCACCTATTGAAAAACTTGGCAAAATTCGATATGTGGTGGAACTTAATAGGAAAATTTATTATTTGTTATAACAGGCAATGTGCACAGGTACTTATTCAGGTAATTTACTAAGCATTATAAATATGAGCACTTTTGGTGGATTCTGTTAGACATAAAAGTCAATATAAAGATTCGTAATACTCACTATCATGTGTTGCAGGCTGGTATCCCAGAGCAACTAAGCTCAGCCAACAGCTTTATTTCCCAAGTCTAAATACTAAGATATCATGACACTTGGGAAATAAAAGGCATTAACTGTGAATTTTAGCAGCACACAGTGACACTGTGTCACTGTATTCAGCTACAAACAGTGAAAAATAGTAATAAAAAGACATGCTGTGAAATTCATGGTCCTTATTGCAATGCTGATTCAGGAGATGCATAGTCTCCTGGGTGCTTTTATATATATTAGTGTTAAAGGGGACGGGGGATGTCCAGTCTCTTAAATCCTGTAGGAGTAATACTTTAAAGGATAACCTTTTTATTTACTGTAAAATTGATGAATGGGTCCCTTAGTTCTCTAGACATCCCCCTTCTTCCCCAAATTTGTCCCTACCTACCTCATCATTCTAATTAATAGTGTCTCTGTGAACATTTACCAGAGCATTGCCAAACTGGATTAGGTCATTGCCTTGTTTATGCAACCCTTAAGAACCGCAAAGTTGTTACTAGTGGCACACCTCTTGGTTATGCGGCCACACTTCTGCCACATAAGGAGGCTCAAGTAGCAGCTGAGCGTTCGCATGTGTGGCTGTATTGAAAAATCTCCTCAATTGATGCTCACTTCAGGCCTCACCAACTGTCCTGACCCTATTTTAGTGTCCTGCCCTGCTATCTCAATTTAGTTCCCCGGTATTCCTCATTAGGGACACAAAGGACTATTCCTGGACAGAACAGCACAATCGCATCATTAGACATGTTCACACTGTCCTGTAGGCAATAGGGTAATGCTCTCTGAATGGCCGACTTTCTGGGGGCTGGACAGAGAGGCTGTCTGTCAGCCTAGTGTGCTTTTCCAGGTGATCCTGCCCGGGTAGGCCTGCTAATCTTGATCATTACAAGTGATAATAGTTGCGTCAGTGGCCACGCCCACCAGGGGTTGCCCACAAGCATCCTGCTCTCATGTTGGGAGGTATGAAGACTCACTGTATCGTCTAATAAGTAATGGGAAAGTTGCAATTGCCTGCCAAAGTGAGGGAAGAAACTGCTCCACAGGGAACAGGAGGTGCAATGTAAGCAGTGCATGCTAGCTGAGTAAAAAATTCAACAGCAGTCAGATAGATCCACAACTCCAAAAATAAAATGTATAAACTATCCAACAAAATGTCAAACAGCAGGCATTATAGGCATTGGAGAATAAATGACTGTGCTCTAATATGGAGTTACAGTCATGGGCGTAGGAACCGGTGGGGATGGGGGGGACTCATCCCCCCCAGCAAATCATGCGGGGGGACCGGTTATAGAGAAATCCCCCCCTAGCCCCACCGGCCGTGGGTGCCCTCGGGCTGCGTGCGGCTCCATCAAGGAACCGCACGCACTGCAGACTGGAAAAGGGAGCACCTCCCCCTCCGCGCAGGAGCGCCGGTTGTCACGTGACTACCTGGCGCTCAGTCTGACACTGCGCCCGCCGGATGTCCAGAGGTCCCCCTGCTATGTCAGGTAAAAGAGGGGACAAAGGTAGAAAAATAATTGGAAGGGTTTAGGGGGGGCTACTAATATGGATGGGGGGAGGGATAGGTAGAAAAATAATTGGAAGGGTTTAGGGGAGCTACTAATATAGATGGGTGAGGGGTAGGTAGAAAAATTATTGGAATGGTTTAGGGGGCTACTAATATGGATAGGGGGAGGGGTAGGTAGAACAATAATTGGAAGGGTTTAGGGGGGCTACTAATATGGATGGGGAGGAGTAGGTAGAAAAATAATTGGAATGGTTTAGGGGGGCTACTAATGTGGATAGGGGAAGAGGGGTAGGTAGAAAAATAATTGGAAGGGTTTAGGGGGGCTACTAATATGGATGGGGAGGAGTAGGTAGAAAAATAATTGGAATGGTTTAGGGGAGCTACTAATATGGATAGGGGGAGGGAGAAAAATAATTGGATGGGGGAGAGGGGTAGGTAGAAATATAATTGGAAAGGGTTAGGAAGGCTACTAACAAGGATAGGTGGAGAGGGATAGGTAGAAAAATAATTGGAAGGGTTTAGAGGGGCTATTAATATGGATGGGAGGAGGGGGGAGGTAGAAAAATAATTGGAAGGGGTTAGGGGAGTACTAATATGAATGGAAGGGGTAGGGTGGGTTCTAATATGCATGGAAGTGGTTAGGGGGGTACCAATATGCATGGAAAGGGTAGGGGGGTTAATATGCATGGAAGGGGTAGGTGGGGTTCTTATGTGCATGGAAGGGGTAGGGGTGGTTCTAATATTCATGGAAGGGGTAGGTGGGGTTCTAATATAAATGGAAGGGGTAGAGACGGGTAGTAAAATGTATGGAATGCACTTCTGAAAGTGTCACTGAATGGCAGTTAGGAAATGTGGTCACCCTAAGTCAGGGGCAGTATTACACAATCTGTATATGTATAAAAAATATAAAAAGTAATCTGCAAAGTACAAAATGTTTGTGTCATATGTCGTGCTAAAAATTAAGCTAGGAATATGCATATTTTTTTATTTTTTTTAAATAATTTTTAGAATAATGATACAGACATTTTATTTCTTACATTTGTGATGATTCTTTTTTCCTCTCTATATTCAAGGGACACTATAGTCACCAGAACCACAACAGCTAAACGTAGTAGATCTGGTGTCTATAGCATGTCTTTGCAGGCTTTTTAATGTAAGCACTGCCATTTCGTAAAAAGGCAGTATTTACATTACTGCTGAGGAATACCTCTAGTGGACACTCAGATGGCCACTACAGGTGCTTCCTAGTCGAGACATGAATGCCGCCCTATGAAGTATCTGCGCATGTGCGGCAAAGCTGTGCATGCACACCAGGGAGCAATGACGCTTCTGAATAGAAGCGTTTTATTGCTCCCTGCTCGCACCCTCCTATTTCGTCATTTTGACGAAATAGGGGGCGCTGCACCAGGAGGATCCTGGCGCTGTATCCAGGTAAGTAAACCCCCTTCCCTGTAGTGACCCTTTCATGTTATTATTTTATCATTTATATAGCGCCAGCAAATTCCATACAATGGCATAAACAACTCCTAGTTTACGGAATAAGAATATACCCGGCGAGTAAAAATGCTACCCCCCCCCCCAGATTTTTGGGGGTTCCTATGCCCATGGTTACAGCACAAGGAGGAAAATATAACAAATACAAATAAAGGCAAGTGTCAAGGCGTAGAATAAGTATCAAGATACAAGGGATGTAAAAAGTAGCTTAAAAATGATAGGGCACTTTAAATTATGCTGGTGCCCAGAGTTTTCCTTTAAAAGGGTTGTGAAATGGAGGTGGTAATTTAATCAAACTCAGGTGTTAGTAACCCTTGACTCATCCTGTTAAGCCCAGAATGGTATGATCAACAGCCCATACCAACATCAATATGATAAATGCAGACGCATGTCATGTGTGAACATATTTCTGCTGACAACCACACACTTTATTTAAACCATCCATTATTTAAATAGATTGACTATATTCTATTCCCCTTACAATGTACAAGCTCTGTTTAATTGTTCACCTCTGTGTCCAGTACGGTTCTACTGCAAGAACCGCTGCTCTGAAATTGCATTCTGTATTCACTTTCATAGTCTGAGCACAAAGCAGGAAAAACTGGAATCTGTGGGAAATTAAATCACTAAAGAGTTACATTTGTTAGAATACAGCATTTAACACATATTATTGCAGTATGCACATATTTACAGCATGCTAAAAGGAACCCTATAGCATTAGGAACACAAATGTATTCCTAACACTATAGTGTCTCCTCACTATTTAGAGTAGAGTGCCCACTACCTTAACTTAAGGGATACTGCATCCTAGCCACACCTCCCCCTGGCTGTGACTGACACAGCCTGCATTAAAACAAAACAGTTTCACTTTCAATCAGATGTAACTTAACCCCTTAAGGACTGAGCCAGTTGTACACGTTGTGATCAAAACAGAAAACAAAAACTGGAATTTGCGCTACATGTCTGTTCAACCGTAATCCACCTTTTTCACATTAAGTGCACCCACACTTATTATATATCATTTATGTTCCGAAGAAACAAGGCTTTAATTTCACATTAAATAGTTATATAAGAAACATAATTCATTAGGAATAAAATCTAAAAAAAAAGTGAGAAATTAAGATTTTTAAAAACATTTTAGTTCTGCATGGAATTTTAACTGTGAATGTCATAATACTGTTAGATTTTACTGCAATAAAATGCACATATTTGTATTCAGCAAAGAGTACAACAGTATTGTAATCAATAAAAATTACTTAATTATGTAAAATTCTTACATAAATATGCACGTAGAATTTAAAAATAAACATATTTATATATTTGACATCTGCTTGTATATTTATGAAGTTATTTATGTAATTATGTACATGAATAGATTTGTATTTTTTATGATATATACACATATATATATATATATATTTATATATATATATATATATATATATATATATACAATTTAAAGGGAAACTCCAGTGCCAGGAAAACAATCCGTTTTCCTGGCACTGCAGGTCCCCTCTCCCTCCCACCCCCACTCCCCGGTTGCTGAAGGGGTGAAAACCCCTTCAGTAACTTACCAGAGGCGGCTTCTTCCTCCACCGCCGCTCCTCCCTGTGAGTGCGTCGGCCGGTGGGCGACACTGATCCCGCCCACCAGCCGGGGAGACCTAATGTGCATGCTTTTCAATGCTTTCCTATGGGGAATTTAGGGAATTGAGCGACGCTGGAGGTCCTCACACAGCATGAGGACGTCCAGCAATGTTCTAGCACAGGTATGCCCAGGCAGTCCCCGACACAGAGACACCTATTGCGGCCATGTGACCGCTCTGTTATAGCGATCACATGACCCGCGGGGGCCTAATTTGCTGAGGGGGGACTGTCTGTACTTACCCCCCAGACCGGGAGCAACGGCAATCGCCGTTTAAGCTCGGCTCCTTAAGAACGGCATAGAACGCCGCTGTCCTTAAGGTTTTTTTTTATCTCCAGCACTGTAAGTTGATTTTAATCACACACAGGAGGCTTCTGCAGGCTTTAGCAAGCTATTAACAGAGCAGGAGATAAATTCTAAATTAAACCGAATTTGCAATAAAGGAAGTATAAACATTAGAAGTATAAACATTACAAGTGTTTAGGAAGGCTGTGTAAGTCCCATGCATGGAGGTATGACTAGACCTATATAAACAAAGTGATTTAACTACTAAATGACAGAGAATTGAGCAGTGAGACTGCAGGGGCATGATCTATTAATCAAAACTATTTCATTAAGCAAAAGTTGTTTGGTGACTAGTGTACGTTTAAAAAAAAAAAAAAAAAACACACTTGTAACAACCTGCTAAGATCCGCGAGACTCCTTTGTATATTGTGTCATGCTCTATAGGTTAAACTCTTCAATAAAGTTTATACATGGGGGGGAAAAAAAGGGGAAAAGGTTTTTAATTACTTTTTTCTAGCGCCGAAACTCACTAACGCACATCGATTCATTGCTTTCTCATCCAAACTAATGCTTCTCATTGGAATAATTGCTGTGTGCATCCAATCAAATGCTTCTCACAGGGTACATGCAGTCTAATGCTTCCCTGTGATCAGCATTTAATGACATTCAACAATCTCATGCAATGAGTGAGGACATCACATAACCGAGGTAACCAAACCGGGTTAGGAGTGCCGTATCTACTAGATGTTAATATTTTACAATGCCAGGACACTGCACTCAGACCATTTCATTGAGATGAAGCGTTCTCGGTGCCTTCAGTATCCCTTTAGTTTTATAGTAATGCAGAAATTAATTAATGCTAAAAGCGCAGCAACCATTCTTTTTATTCCTTGTTTTCACCTTTCATCTTCTTTAGATGATGTCAGTGTTTTTTGTTCTTCCTCCATTTTTTTCTGTAGTTCTTTTAATCCATGAATTGCTGTCCAAGTTAACGAAGGGTTCGCACCACAGAGATTATTGATATCATCCCTGCAAGTTATACAGCGTTAAGGTCAAACTTGGGTGCATTTATTTTTTAATAAGTTTAAAATATAGATTGGATATAATTTGGGCTTGCAGTATAAGCTGAATTTAATTCTTTATACAGTGCTACATATTGTTCTTTCATGGCAGGTACACTTTAAAGACAGAAAATAAAAGCTGGGGGATATTGTATATTGTGCTTCACACTTAACTGCAATTATGTGATTATATACTTTCTTGTTCTGGCAGGTGTTGCTGTGGCGGCAGTTTAGCAGATAATGCATAAATTAAAGGGTAGGCAACCTTTTTCACACCAGATTTTGTGGACTATATCTCCCCAAATGCTTTGCCAGCATTGTGCTGTAAGAACATCAAGGCAGATGCAGTTCACAACATGTGGAGTGATGAAGATTGCCTACCTCCAGCCTAGAATGTGTACTGTAGATGCGCAGATGGGCAATGTTTGTGAGGTTCTGGATGCATATCCTTGTGTCACATTACTGGACAGCACCACCTAGCCTGGTTTATGTGGTAAGGCTTCTTCAATTTTGTGAGGTAGGCATATATGTATTGCAGGGACAGCTGTACCTCCAACTCTTCATGCTGCTAAATATAGCAACTCAGAAATGTTTGGAGCACAAAAAGACACAACACACAATATCAAAATGCACATCTTAGAAACTTCCACATGGTACTGGATGTTTCAAGCATGTGTGAAATACTCTTTGGATGTTCTGCGTGTGGATTTGCAAACAGTGGGCAATTTCTGGACAATATGAACAAATATAAGAATATACAAGGTTTCAGTTACCTAAAGTTGTGCTCTCCTCCAGGGAGTTGCGATAAAACCAATTCACTGTTCCTTTCCAACCCGAATTGTGCCAGCAATCTGAGTTCTTGCAGACTCTGCTCTTTCTTCTCACTGCTCATTAATGCCCACTTTTGTGACCCTGGAAATGAAATATATATAGCAGATGTTTCATAAGAATGTAACAGAGGATCTCAGTAGAACATCAAAGGGCTAGTTTTGAAAGAGGCACAGAGTCTCTGTATCATCTGACAGAAGTTGAGGCTCCTACTAACTTATAAAGAGTACTGGGACACTATACTTACCTAAACAACTTTAACTCGATGAACCCGTTTTGGTGTATAGATCATGCCCTTGCAGTCTCACTGCTCAATTCTTTGTCATTTAATAGTTAAATAATTTTGTTTATACGACTGTAGTCACATCTCCCTGCATTTCACATGCACAGACTTCCTAAATATTTTCTGTAAAGAGATGTAATTTCCTTTTTTGCACAGTCTGTTTAATTTAGAATTTCTTTGCTCCTGCTCTGTTAATAACCTTCTGGACCCTTCAGGGGCCTCCTGTGTGTGTAAAGTTCACAGATCATGAGCTAACAACTTCTAAAGCAAGTTAACATCTGATTGAAAGTAAAACCATGTTTTTCATGTAGGCTATATGCGTTACAATCAGGGGAGGTGTGGCTGAGGCTGCATGCACAGAAACAAAAGTGATTTAACTCCTGAATAGCAGAGAATTGAGCAATGAGACTGCAGCAGCATGATCTATACCAGGGCCATCTATAATATGATTAGGACCCTGGGCAATGCATTTTCTTGGGCCACCTGGGCCCTGCTCCTTCCCCCCCCAACCCCCTAATTACACCCAACCCGCAATCACACTGACAGACATATGCACACAGACAGACATATTAAAACATTCTCAGATACATACTGACATACACATACACTGACACACAAATATATACTGGTAGACATATTGACATACATTCATGAATACACAGACACATAAACTGACAAATATACTGACACACACAGACGCATACACTGACAGACCTATTGACACAGACATACTGACATACTGACACACTGACACACACACACACACAGACTTAGTGACATACACACAGACATACTGACATACATACACACACACACACACACACAGACAGACATAGACACACAGACATACTGACATACACACACACACACACACAGACATACTGACATACACACACACACACACACACACAGACATAGACACACAGACATACTGACACACACAGACATACATATACACATACTGACACACACACACAGACATACTGACATGCACACAGACAGACATAGACACACACACAGACATACATTTAGCCACCCTCCAGTTTCTTACCTTTTTCTGGAGGTTGGTTTCCCTGGTCCAGTGGCAGGCTGAGGCAGATGGGAGTTCTCCTCTGGAACTCCCCTCCTCCCTGACTTTCTCCTCCCGCGCGGTTGTGATCTCCGGTGGGAGGAAGTGACACGCGGCACTCACTTCCTCCCAGCCGGCTGCCGAACAGGAAGGGGCCCGGTCGCGCTGTTTAAGTGTCACAGCGCCCGACCGGGCCCCTGTTGACACATGCCCACCGGGTGGCCCTTAGTGCATGGGTCACCCAGGGGCCTGCTTAGTGTGTGTCCCAGGTCCATGGGAGCTGCTCAAATCGCGGGGCCCACGAGGCAGCTGCTCTGGGGCCCCTCTGGAGCAACTGGGCCCGGGGCAGCTGCCCCGTTTGCCCCCGTTAAAGACGGCCCTGATCTATACACCAAAATGCTTAATTAAGCTAACATTGTTTTGGAACCTAAAGTGTCCATTTTATGTAGGAGAAGTTATGTTATCTTTCATAAAAGTGATGGAAAATGCAATACCCTATTGGTAAAAGAAAAACCTAATTGCCACAGTGAACTAGAGGAGCATGGCTTGTATAACTTATTGACTTTTTATTGCTTTATGAAAATTATGTAAATAGAAAACTGCTCAACAATTACATGAAAGAGCAAACTTGCTTTAAACCACGTTAGTTTAGAGAACTGTCTCCAAGTAAAGAAAGAGAGCCCACTCCATCCTCACTATGACCTGTGGAGGGACTTGATACCTAGACTCTTGTCTAGAGATTATGGACTGAAAGAGATTCTGATGACCAGGCAAGGCATTGTGTTGCACAGTGCCACCTCTTGGTGGAAGGATGTTTCACACATTTATATTACAGAATCTAATCGACAGAAAACACTAAAACAGTAATACCTCTCACATGTCCTGTATCTAGTGATGTTGTTTCAAGGAAACTCACAGGATGCAGCTATAAGAAAACGCATACCCTATGCTAATCTCTCACTTTTATCTCTCAAGCAAAACTATACCCCTGAAAACAGCAGCGGTGGGCAGGGTAAAAGGATGGGCCAGTGACACAAATCACTTAACCAATGGACATGTCCAGAAAGGGAGCGGGTCTGCCGAAAGAATAGGAAGGTCAGTCTGGAGTGAATGCATGTCAGGTCGCCTTTTAATAATGCAGACTGGCCAACCAAGGGCGTATTATGCAGACAGCTTCCCGAGCTTGGCGCAAATGTGTCTAATGATGCGTTCACTCTGCACTTTCTGGGGATTGTCTACTAGCACTCACTTTTCTCTCCTTACCTTCTTACTAGCAGGTAGAAGCCCCCAGTAATATAGCTACTATAATTGAAAATAATTATTTGCCCAATGAAATAATACTACTTCTTTATTTTTGATTACTTCTATATACATGAACTCTTCTTAATATCTCTAATGTATTATATGAACTCTACTAATAGACTTGTGGAAATGTATAAATACCAGTCAAATTATATGGAGGAAGAAATTTTAACCCGGAATATGCAGCTGGAAAAGTAGCTAGAACGCATAGAGGGGAACACTTAAACTCTACAATTGGCGGAAAATCTGCAAGTGATGCGATGGACTGCAAGCCAGAAATGATGTTGTCTCATGAAGTTAATAACAAAACGAGGCTTGACACACAGCACGCTTCTGTTTTCAATGAAATGGCGCTCGTTCAGACAGCCGTCTTATATTATTTCTTAATTGATAAGGTATTCAAGCAGGAATGAGACTGGATTATGACCCAACTGAAGAAGTCAACATATCAAAACGCGTTTTGGGAGCACGGAGTACATTCATACTGATGGGTTTTACTTTTAATGTTTTTTAATATACCAGTTTAAATAAACGTATGGCCATCAAGTTCCTGCACACCAGGGAGTAAGTGGCATGGTCCTTAAAAAAACATGTATTCCAGACCCTATAGTGTTGATAACGCTATTTACCCTCGTGCCCCCTTCCTAAATCAAGTAAAATCTTACCTTTATTCCAGTCTGCTGGTGCTGGTGCTGGTGCTGGTGCTGGTTCTGCCCCTGATCTGCCTCCTTGGCTGACATCATCAGAACTGGTGATCTCAGCCAATCCAATGCATTCCACAGGAAAGCATTGGATTGGCTGAGATTGTCAAGGAAGCAGATCAGGGACAGAGCCAGCAGAAGCCAAATGCAACCCTGGCCAATCAACATCTCCTCATGGAGATGCATTGAATCAATGCATCTCTATGAAGAAAGTTCAGTGTTTCCATGCAGAGGGTAAAGACATAGAATGTGACGGCAGATAAGAACCATTCGGCCCATCTAGTCTGCCCAATTTTCTAAATACTTTCATTAGTTCCTGGCCTTATCTTATAGTTAGGATAGATTTATGCCTATCCCATACATGCTTAAACTCCTTTACTGTGTTAACCACTACCACTACAGCTGGAAGGCTATTCCATGCATCCACTACCCTCTCAGTAAAGTAATACTTCCTGATATTATTTGTAAACGTTTGCCCCTCTAATTTAAGACCATGTCCTCTTGTTGTGGTAGTTTTTCTTCTTTTAAATATAGTCAGTCTCCTCCTTTACTGTGTTGATTCCCATTATGTATTTAAATGTTTCTATCATACCTCGTCTCGTTTTTCCTCCAAGCTATACATGTTAAATTCCTTTAACCTTTGCGTGTAAGACACCGAATGTCAGTCCTATAAAACTGTTCAGCTCTGCCCTAGGAATCACCTGTAGTAGCCATCCGAGGAGTGGCCAGTGGAGGTATAACTAGGCTGTAATGTAAACACTGCATTTTCTCTGAAAAGACAGTGTTCACAGCAAAAAAGCCTGAAGGGACTGATTATGCTCACCAGAACAAATACAATAAGCTGTAGTAGTTCTAGTGACTATAGTGTCCTTTTTACCATACAAAGCACATCTACTGAGTCATATGAGGCCCTATGTTTGTATTTTATGTGGTAAATATTTGAAAGCAATATCACCCTATGTATCTATTGTTTGGAGATTTTTTCAGAAAAACTGGGGAGAACCTACCACTTTCCTCACACAACAATCAAGAGGGGAAGGGTGGCCCATATGGACCTTAAAAGCTTTTCATTCCAATGTTATTGGTGTTCTCAAATTGTACAATAGTTTTTTACATTTTAGATATATATCGTTCCTTAATGGTGTACACCTGATTTTATAGAGGATTTTTAATGGAAAAACCTTTTTTTACTTTTAAAGGAATTTTATGTATCTAAAAATATCACATGCACTTCATATATAGCGTTGCTCTACATTTTGTTTATGTTTATTTCCTTGTGTGTTGTGGGGAATTACAAACCACAGTGTACTAGCAGCTTACAATTGAATATTGATTATTTGCACTTGTTTATATACTTATTTATATATAAAATATTTTACCAGGAAAGATACATTGTGATTTCTATCATTTTTAAGTATGTCCTGGGTCCACAAAACATTGCATTGATACAATAGGGAACAATAAAATACAAAAACAATATTAATACACAATATATACAATATTTAACATAGAACAGGTAGGAAATATATAATCAACCATGACATGTGCATTCTGTTTTGAGATCTGTAGAGAGGGATCTCTTAAAGGACTTTAGGCTTGCGAAGATTTGAAAGTGTGCGGGAGGTCGTTCCATTTATATTATTCTACAAGATAGCACTCACACACCTATTTCTTTTTGGCATATTTATTTATTTATAAAATATTTTACCAGGAAAGATATGTTACAAAGATGTAAAAAAGATAAGTATGTTGTGAAATATTGTGACACTATATATGCATTAAGAAAAAGACATGTAAGAGTGTACCTTTTTTTATATCAGAGTGGCTGTTTTCTGTAAAAGATAAGTAGTTTTCACATTCTTCTTTTCTGCTTAAGGCTTAGAAGTTCTTCAGATTGTGAATGTTGCTGTTTTTTTCTATGGTTAACCATTTGTCTTATTTTAACCAAAACTTACTAAATTGGTGGAAGCACAGATTATTTTGGAACATTACAGAAAAGACAGAATAAAATTTTCTCAATGTGGAGAGACCGTTTCATACATAAGAAAATGTGGCAGTCACACAAAACTGGCACAAAAGTGAAAGCGAATTACATCCACATTATTTTCTGAGGACTAAAGGCTATCTCGTAGGTTTAACCCCTTAAGGACCAAACTTCTGGAATAAAAGGGAATTATGACATGTCACACATGTCATGTGTCCTTAAGGGGTTATTTCTGCAAGACAGCAGAATGAAAACTATTGATGGCTGAAATTACAGTAGTTTCCTATTAAATGACAGACATTAGCGCATCTTAAAGCACAGCAATAACCACAGGCAACTGTTGTGTTTTCCGCCCATAAAACTCCATGGAAGAGGAAAATGAATGACCCATTCAATTCCTACAGCTAGCCTTATTCCTGTTAAAAAGAAAACCAAACAAACTGCCAGTTACAAGTGCATTGAGACTCATTGAAGGACAAGGAATGTAACTGAACCCACCTACTCAAATCTAGGTTTAGTTGCCTGGATATCTCAATGGAGATCTTTAGCAATCTAAAGAGTGGGGTTTCAGTAGTTCAGACATAAGTACTGAATATGTTAGACATAAAGGCACTAAACATTGAGGTACTTGGTGAATTACAAACAAATGAGCATACCATAGTAAGCCTGTAGCATGTCCTGGTAAAGCTTCTCACGTAGTGCGGAGTATTTTTCTTCGATTGCTGCAGTCAAGTCCTCGTGTGTCACACAGTGACTGTCATTCTCATTCACGGCATCATCTTCAGCTGTCACCAGGGTATCGAGACCCCTGGAGTCCCACCTAAGATTGAACAAAATCACTGGAGTTCACAACCCATATTGATCAACTGATATTAACCATTCTGGAAAAATATACTTACTTTTTTGTATACTGTAAAGCAATGTGTACATTTCTGTTTCATGTCAGTATACATAGATAACACATTTTTGAATAAGAAAAAGCACACTTTTGTTGATTTATGTTTATGGACAGAAACTGCCACCACCTCAAATAAATAATATTTACTCCAAAAATCTTTAAACAATATTTTAAATAAATAATACCTATTAATATATAACATGTTGTCATGTTTCCTAAGCTTCTATGTATGTCATAGTCCTCTTGTGTGACAAATATTTCCCTCCATATGCCACAGTCCTTTCACATATGTAAAATCCTCACAAGCAATTAGCCAGCATTTTATTTGCCCACATTGTAGCATCCCTTATATTGCATGACAAAATGCTCCATATATTGCCCACAGGTTAGTGCATTGCCTCATATGTTGTCACAATTGTTCACATATTGCTCCATATGTTGTAAAAGTGTCCAAGTGATATGTGATCACATTGACCTCATATGGCCCCCTCAGTTTGTCATAGTACCCCTAAAAGATTCCCGATATGGTTTCACATTTCCACATACATGATTGCAACACAACGTGGAACGATAATAATGTGAAAGTGCCTCATTTATTGTTAAAGGAATGATCCAAGGACCACGACCACTACAGTGCAGTGGCACATTATAAGCCCCCGCATCGAAATGAGCTAAAACATTTTTGAACAGTTTGATTTCTAAACTGAGGTCTGTTAGGTGACACTTCTTTCCCCCTCTACCATCTCTCTAGAGCCATAAGTTCCTCAGCAGAAATGTATGTTAGCTCTCCTGAGCTTAGTCCCACAATACAAGGCTTGGCTCATTGGCTGAGAACGTCAACTGATACCTCTCATTTCCAATCATATAATTAATATGATTAAACTAATACAATACTATATTACAATGTAACAATGTAACATAGCTCATAAAGCGTATTGCATGATTCATGCCATAGTACCTGAATCAGCATGGATATTCTGGCCCATGAAGAAAAATGCATTGTTTCAAAGTTTTACCCTGAAAATGAAGCGCTTCCTTCTGTGTCAATCATTTTATATGCAATCAATATGCCCAGTGAATACATTGTTGTACAAACAAGGAGGGAAATCCTTTCTGCACGCAATTAGTGTGTATAATTAGATCTGTTGATTTTGTTTATTTGTTTGTTTGTTTTACATATTTCACTACATATAATAACATTTACAAAAATATTTCCCATATGTAACAAAAGGTTTTTGATTTTTTTTTGCAAATGGCCTCTAAAAAGTTTTTTTCACAGCACATAAATGCACACACATGTGACAAAATTATGTTATATGTCCTGATAACAAATATGTAAGAAAACAGGAGACATAGCAGCAAGCGCTTCATACTATATTACACCTCTTGATTTATTGTAGCCTGTCTGTAACCTATTATCTGACACATCTGGATCCTTCAAATAAATTCTTCAACAAACTCACAAGTCTGTAATTTCCCATCTGAGATTTCTTTCCTTTCTTTCCCCTGGGATATGTTAAGCCTTGAACTGGAAATAAATTAACCAAGGTGGAGGAACACACACATCTATCTCAGAGATCACTGTAAGGATGCCCCTTATGAATACATTGTTCCCTCAAGGTCAAAAATCATATATCACAGCACAATATGAGCACAGCCCAAAAATCATGTATCACAACACAATAAGAGCATAGCCACTGTAGTTGGTCTCATATTTGAAATCTGTATTTATCATCCTTTCTGGATTTTTAAATATATTTGTTGGATTGCAAATAAAGATAATTTTTAATACATGGGTTGTGCTCTTATGTTGTGAAGCCTTAAACTAGAACTGAATAACTTTGGCATATGATATAGTTTAAAAGCCAGATCATTAAAATTAGACTTGTGCACAGTAAATAAAATTGGTTTGGCAAAATCATTAATCTGGAAAAAAAAAAAATGCAATTCAGATGGAAAAAAATTCATCCTTGAGGCCTTTTCGGGTCGAACGAAGTTAATCCATAATTTCTGTTAAAACTTTTTGAAAGAAAGCAAAAGTAAGCACAAATTGACCAATCAGTGTACTGCAAAATATATGCATAACATTAGGTGTATATTTTGCAGTACACGGATAGATGCATTCCCCTCCCTCCCATTTGGTTTAACCCCTTAAGGACACAACTTCAGAAATAAAAGGGAATTATGACTGAATATTTCCATCATGTGTCCTTAAGGGGTTAAAGATCAAGTGGGACTAAAGAAAAAAAATAGAAAATAAAATTATATAATCTGTATTTAAATATTACGTATTTATTAAATATATCATATATAAATATAGATTTTTTTTTTTTTACTGCTCCTCCTTTTTCCGATTTATTGGTCACTTGTAACTTGATCTGTGAATAAAACTAACATTTAGCAGCTGACCACTAGCCATCAATTAACTTTTTTTCCCCATCATCAATTTTTTTGTGGCACCAAAGCAGGAACCCCAAATCATGAAACACCCAAAACGGTTTATCCATCTCCCATTTCTGGTGTTTCGGGATATATCCAAATAGCGATTCCAAGTTAAGCAATTCGGATGACCTGTCTGTCGCCTCAATTTAATTCAATATTGTTAGAAAAGTTTCCATGTAATTTTTTTTTACAGAAGCCACGATTAAAGTATACGGGAATTTTAGTATATAAATCATTTGGGATTTTTCTAATAATACTGAATCATTTGGGAAGCTTATTAAATCGATGCCAAAATCACCAACGTTTTTCACAGCACTTTACAATTATAGAATGGAGTTATTTAAAAACAGGTAATTGAGGGCTCTGCTCAGATAAGCTTACGACACAACTAGTTTGTCAATTGATGGTTTAATGTAATTATACAATAATCCGGCTAGTACACTCGAGGCACAAATCCTAGGCTCCTATAAGGCCATCATCTATACAGTTTAGCCCTGATCTTCAAGGATTGGGAAAGTGAAGAGTGACAGCTGTTGGATTTCCAATTTAACTTATGATCCCTGGTCTATCCACTGCGGACTAATCAGATATGTATATTAAGCTTTGGATTGCTATGTGGTTTTCTCCAATTAAATCCCAGTTTGGAGTGATTGCTATTCTCAAATTGTTGCACTATTTTAAAAGAAATCACTAAAGAGTTACATTTGAAAGCTTTCTACCATTTACTAAATAATAGCCATCCAACCCCAGAACCAGTTGCAAACTGTATCCATGCATATACGAACATATATATATATATATATGCATGAAATCTTAAACATAATGTCTGTCTATACTCATTTGCATGTCAAGCAGGGAACTCCAGGATAGTTATCTAAACATTATTTGTAAAGCTTTTATACCCAAGAATGTTTGTTATTCCGACTTAAACAGAACATTTCTGGAGATGTTTACAAGTTACAAACTGTGCTATTTTTGTTGCAAAGTGCTAAAGGACCTTATTTAGCACTTTTACCCAGAATAGCACCTGTTCTTGCACATGGGTTTCCTATTTTGAAGACCATGTGCAAAAAACAGGTGCTTTACTTAATCCCATCCCTTTTGTACATGAGGGCTATTTCAAGTATTAATTACTCTACGCAAAGTTGTGTTTATGTATAATTCCCTTTAAACTTCCACCATTTAGCTTTTGAACAAGAATATCATTCTAGTATAATTTAGAATATCATTATGGTTTATGGCTTCAGTGGCTACTTTATCTGCATGATTTACATACCTAAAGTACCGCACTTCCTATATTTTATCATTATATTAAAGGAACACTCCAAGTACTATAAGTACTACAGTGCATAACCCACTCTCTCCGCCACCCAGCTTTCCCTGTTGCAAGAAGTCAAACCGGTTTAGAATCAAAACCAGATAACCTACGCTGGGAGCTCTTGGTCTGGTTGTGAGGGTCCCTCCTTGAGGAGGCGGGGAGATCAAAACGTTTTTGCTGTTTGACCCTGAACCCATTCACCAGCTCAAGGGAGCATTGAAGTTTGCCTCTCTATCAGGCGCAGACCACTTTAGGTGTATCCTTGTGGTCCCCTACACTTCTCAATAACGGAGAATGCTGCATCCAGCTCTTAAAGTAACCTGCACCTGATATTTTGTGCAGACCACAATGCTCCCCCACCATACCACCAGGAATTCTGCTCTCAGTGTGCTTCCATAGTACCACCAGTGAAAGGTTAAAAAGAGGAGGGCAAAACACACAGACACTAAACACACACAATGCTCAGTGACACTCAAATTCCCCTACACACAAAATCAGACACTACACACACCACACTCAATCAGTACACAGAGGCACACTCAAACCTCCAAATACAGCTTTCAGCCACCTCCACTGCACACACATACACAAACAGTGCAGGGTTTATCTCATTAGCTGAAAGTGATCAGCTGACACTCTCAGTCAATGAGCTTCTTGCAATGACAACATGGGCCTTGATTTAAAGGAACACTATAGGGTCAGAAACACAAACATGTATTCCTGGCCCTATAGTGTTAAAAACAACACCTAGCCCACCTGACCCCCCACCCCCCTAAATTTAGTAAAATTGTACCTTTTATTCCAGTCTGCTGCTGCTGGCTCTGCCCCTGATCTGCCTGCTTGGCTGACAGCATCAGAAGTGATTGTCTCAGCATTGGATTGGCTGAGACTGTCAAGGAGGTAGATCGGGGCAGAGCCAGCACAAGCCAAATACAGCCCTGGCCAATCAGCATCTCATTATAGAGATAAATTGAATCAATGCATCTCTATGAGGAAAGTTCAGTGTTTACATACAGAGGGTGGAAACACTGAAAGTCATGGCTGCACAATGTGTAGCACTGCCCCAGGAATCACCTCTAGCAGCCATCTGAGGAGTGGACAGTGGAGGAATAGCTCGACTGTAATGTAAACACTGCCTTTTCTCTGGGGGAGTGGGGGGGGCTGGAAACAATGTTTATTGCAAAAAGCCTGAAGGGAATGATTATACTCAGCAGAACAAATACCATAAATACCATAAGCTGCAGTAGTTCTGGTAACTATAGTGCCCCTTTAATATTTCAGGCTAAGCATTTTAAATGACTTAATATTGTGAAAAAATATTTAAATATGTTTTGACATGTTGAAATATTTTTTATTATATTTTAAAAGCTTATCCAAAAAATATTAAATCTTTTGAAAAGCTTATCCAGAAATATTAAATCAAGGACATGAAGCATTGATACGTTGTAAATATTTGCAAGTCTTTATGTAAACCAAATTAGGACAGAAATACGTTAACAAATTGAGAGGCAGTAAAGCCCTCCTTTTTTTGCACTTACTGTCTTTTCTGTCTCTGATGCCATAACTCTCCTTCACACAACTTCTGGTTCTTGTCCTCCTGGATGGGAGACAGATATAATCTAACATGAAGTTTTTTATTAAATGACATCAGTGATCCGTCAGTGCAGCTTTCATACCTAGGTTTGGAAGACACAATACCAGTGGCGTACATACCAGGGTTGCAGGGGTCACGGCTGCGACCGGGCCCGGCCCACCAGGGGGTCCGACCGCCCTGCGACACGGTATGTACCCAGTGTAGCCAGCCTCTTCTCCTGGGGGGCCCAGGAGCTTGCCACCTGAGGGCCCACCATGCTTGCCCTGGTGTCACCGGGTGGGCGCGCGAGGGAGCACTATCCCCTGAGCGCTCTCTGCCCAGCTCCCTCGCGCGCCGCGTACTGATGCCGGAGCCGGAATATGACGTCAGTGACCGGCCACCCAGCAACACCACTGGACCCCAGGGAATCCCCTCAGCACTCCCAAAGGTAGGGAGGCTGGGGGATTAAATTTAAAAAAAAAAAGTGTGTGTTTGTGTGTTAGAGTGTGTGTGTGTGTGTGTGTGTGTTAGTGTGTGTGTTAGAGTGTGTGTGTTAGAGTGTGTGTGTGTTAGAGAGTGTGTGTGTTAGTGTTAGAGTATGTGTGTGTTAGAGTATGTGTGTGTTAGTGTTAGAGTGTGTGTGTGTGTGTTAGTGTTAGAGTGTGTGTGTTAGTGTTAGTTTTTGTGTGTCAGTGTGTGTGTTACTGAGTGTGTTAGTTTGTGTGCGTCTGTTAGTGAGTCTGTTTGGTGTCTGTTAGTGAGTGTGTGTTTTGTAAGTGAGTGTGTATGTGTCTGTCTGTCAGTGAGTGTGTATGTATGTCTGTCACTGAGTGTGTGTCTGTCAGTAAATGTGTTTGTCAGTTAGCTAGTGTGTATGCATCTGTTCGTGAGAGTGTGTGAGTGTGTCTGTTAGCTAGTGTGTATGCGTCTGTTTGTGAGAGTGTGTGTATCTTCAGCACTTACCTTTCTCCAGCGCCGGACTCCCTTGGCGCTGGGGATCCCTCCGCCCCGATCCGCCTCTCAGCTCTGAATGCGCATGTTGCTGTGTTAAAACTAGAGGGGCCTGACACCCAGATCACTTCATTGAGCTGATGTGATCTGGGTGTCTGTAGTGGTCCTTTAAGTGTATGTGTATATGCATGCACTTGCGTACATACCGCGGTCGCAGGGGTAGCAGCTGCCCAGGCCTGCGCAGAGTAAGCGCAGGGGGGGCCCACGGATCAGTTTTCGCACCAGGGCCCCATGGGTTGTGTGTACACCACATCACAATACTAATATAATCAAGAGGCAACAGCCAATGCTTCAGCCTCTGCATGTAGGTCATTGCAAGAACCGTTGACAGCTGCGGCTGATAGAAGTTGTGATCATTTAACCCCTTAAGGACCAAACTTCTGGAATAAAAGGGAATCATGACATGTCACACATGTCATGTGTCCTTAAGGGGTTAAAGAGTTCTAGATGCAGAATGAAACATACAGGGAGGAGGAAGTACGTTTATATACAAGTTGATACCAATATTTAAGATCTGCATAGCCCACTACATACCTACAACATCATATGGTTAAATTATCTCAAATTAATTAATTTAAGTCTGGTAATTGAATAGCAGTTTTTCTACCTAGTCCAGTAGATCAGAAGAATAGGTTGAGCTAGTTACCCTACATCCTGGCTAAAACGGTTCTGAAGCCCAACACAGAGTGAGACAAATATTTCAGCAAAACTGTTGGCCAGTTGTGTGAAAGGGATTTGATACAGAGCAGCTGTAAAGTATAAGAGTTCCATTATTAGGCATGTCTCTTCTCATACCTTCTGTATGATCCCTGCTTTTCCAGTCTTTGACACAAAAGAAGTCCTTTCTGTTTCTACCTTCCGCTGTTTCAAAGGAGGGCAACTTCCAAAAAGCCAGTTCTTGGAGATAGTAGAAATAAGACAAAATTAAGAAGCATTTCATACAGAAATAAAATTTGCCAGAATACTTATCAATTTAATTATAAGTACTACATTATATAATTGTATTGTAATACTTATAATACTTATACAAATTATAACCTAAAGGTAGCACGGATAGGTTGACTTACTAAGAATGGCATACGAATTGGAAAAAAGGGTCATCTTAGCAGGAAAAGCTGTCTCCTTCAGCCAACAAGAAGGCAAAGTGGGGTTAACAAACTACCCAAAATAAACAAAGAATATGACCTTTATAATGCAATGTTAAATTGGAGATTAAATGTACATTGTTATATCACAGGTAAACTTTATGTTTCTTCTCATGTAAATGAAATACTTAATTTATCTCTTTAAATAGGTTGTTGATACACCACGTTTTATATAAAAGTAGCTATTAAATAACTGACCTATGATGTACCCAGGATAGTCTGTTATTTTGCAATCTAAATAAGTGTGTTTGCTACAGAAAATGTATATCTTTCTGTTACCTACACCTCAGTGCCCTACATATGTATGCCTTATTACGTAGTCATATAAATATCCTTACCTCAAACAAAATCCCTCAAGTTTACCAATTTTCTGCATTTAAAGGACCACTAAACCCACTCACACACCACTTCATCTTCTCCTGATGTCAGGGAGGTGGAGGGGCTGCAGTGAAACCAGCATGGTAAAGAAAGAAAAGTAAATAAAACTCATCTTTGTATTCCTAAAACTGCAGTGTTCCTTTAAAAAAGACAGAGTGTGTCTCTCTTAGTACATGTAAGTCTTTATAAATTATATATAATAGACATGTGCAATTTGTTTCGGTCGAATTTCGGCAATTCAGAAATTCGGATGCTTCCGAATGTCCGAATTGCTGAATTTCTGAAGTCCCGAATTTCAGAAGTGCCAAACCGAACCAAATTTTTTGCCCATGCACATCCGTAATATATAAGTTTCTTGATACAGATTCATCTTACCTACAGTAGACATTATACCATATCTGCTTTGAGTCTACTTAGCATATTATCTATTGTAGGCCTAATCTTAGCTTGCTGCCTTCTACCTGTAATTTGTCGCAATAATGTTACACTTTTTCAAATATTTTTATATATTGATCCTGTTGTACTTTGGATGCATAAATGCCAATAAAATACAAATTGGAAAAAAAAGTAGTGAAGAGATCACAAAACTATATTTATTGTATATAAATGTCAAGTGATGCATTTTAACACAATATTAACCCCTTAAGGACCAAACTTCTGGAATAAAAGGGAATCATGACATGTCATGACAAGCAAACACATTTCTAAACAAATGAACAAACCAAAATAAAGCAAGAAAAATATTACTATAAACTAGGTGAGAAATGCAATGCTGGACTCACCTCTAATCAATGAGCAATTTTAAAGCCTAACTTCCCCCTTTACCCCCAACCCTACTCTTACCCGCCCAGCTCAGTTTCAAACCAGTCCACTAATGACAGTAACAGGGCATCATTAGGAGAGAGAAACACCAGGGCTTGCACTCCATGATCACATTGATCAGACCTCTCATTTCGCTTTGTCAGAACATCCAACAGTATATGTGTAAATCTATCAGGGATGCCCAATGCACTATTCCAGCATACCTGGGGATAGATAACTAATTGGTTACATCAGTATACCCCCTGGAGTAGGTTTGGAAAGGATAAGAAAGAATTAAGAGGTAAATATGGAAATCATATTTACCTGCTCTTTTGAATCTGCAGAGTGAGGCAAATGTCTCAAAATGATGCATGTATCTTTAATTTCTAATATTGTATATATAATATATATTTAATATATTAATTATATTCGTTTCTTTGGTGGATTTCAGACACTAATATTCCAATAAAAGCGAATTTAAAATAAAGATATGATTCATACTAATGTTTTGGATTTGTGCCTGAGATTCTCCACTTCATCGAGTAGATGAATACCTCTAATTCAGACCAAGAAACCATATTCGAGGTTGACTGACGCTCACTGAGGAAATCCAGCCAGGACTTAGAGGTAATTTGGGATTCCTGGGCTCTTTGCAGGAGGATTTTGACATCTCCAAGGTTAAGTGATGAGCTTCCATTCCAATCTAGAAGCTGGAAATCCCAATAAATCTGTCATAGAAGAAAGATCGTGATTGAAAGCAATACATTAGCCACAATGTAAGTGTTGAGTAAAATAAAAAAATATTTTTAAAAAAAAGGGATTCCACATGTCTTTTATGGTTCTCAAGGAGAAGAGGGAAGGAAAAAAACACCCAATCCCTTCCCCCTTTACTGGAACACGTTGTGCACAAAATTACCACCTATAAGACTGTTTTCATTGAAATCTTCCACCGGGGACATGCTATCAGCTCTGTGGCTGCCGTCACTACTGGATTGCAAGATGAGCAGTTTAAGAGGACTCAGATTCCCATCCCCTGTATGCCTTCAAATGGTTGTGTAGGAGGTAAGGAAATTAATTGGGAGTAAAATGTTACCCAGCATCTCAATGAGGAATTCCCAAAAAGAAATACAGTTGCATTGATCCTGCCTGCTATTCAACAAGGGACACATTTACATGTCAGGTGCATGTAGTCACAAAATTCTAAGATGCCCCGAGTTCCCTGCTACCCGCCCAAGAAAAAAAAAAGAACCATCTAATAAAAATAAAATAATGTTATCAAGCAGTGGAGGCTGACAGGACTAAACTGGACATTGGCCAAGGCTCTTGGTACTTAATGCCCCACCAGCCCACTCTAAAAACATTCTAAAAAGCTCTAAAACATAATTGTCTTACAAGTGTCCTCTACAGGACATGCGCCTGTAGGCAGGTGTCTACTCCGCCTAATGGAAAATCTGGCTCTGTATTCAACTAGGAATAGCAGAACTTTCATTTTAAAGGAAAGGAAAAGAAGAAAGACACAGACACACAATGTGTGTGTATATGTGATTGTGTAGATGTTGAGTGTCAGACATATGGTTGCTCACCTGCTCCTTTACCCAGCGCATTCTCTCCACCTCCACAAGGACATCAAGTAATCTAGAAGAACAGCAGAACCCTGGGTGCACTCTTACACCACACACCTAGTAACAAAGTTACATATCAATTATTTACCTAAATGTAGAACTCATAGCGGGCAGTAGACAGACAAAAGAGAGAGTTGTAAGAAGCATTTTTATAGAGTTATACAAGCATCCATTGGGAGAAGATGTAAGGAATGATGAGAACGGCAGGGGTGGAGCTACCATGTGTGAGAGCCCATGAAGTAACTGTCATCCTCAGGGCCATATCAGAGCATTACTGACCATTCTCTGATCAGGGGCACAGTCGAATATGGGTATCCTTTAACACCACGTAGGTGGGATGAACGTCTTTGGTTCACTTTATTCTGTTGTCCTGATAAAAGATTTCATGAGAAACATCAAATGTTTCCTTTTTGAACTAAATAAAAGTTAGTTTTTTATTTTATTTTTCCTGTAGTGCTATGTGTTATCTTTTGAGAAAAAAAAATAAAAATATAATATTGTGACAAAATACTTCTTTCCTTAGGTACCTTGTTACCTTGTTCTGGGGTTTTTTGTGGCTCCAACATTCAACAGGTTACAGCAAAGTATAACAAAATAAAGCAAAGCAAAATCCTTGTTTTTCTGAGCACTAACTTGGAGGGGGAGTAGAACTACAGCACCTGCAATCAATTATCTTTTGCAGGTGAGGTAAACCAGAGTGTTGGAACTCTGGAAACAGATACTCACCTGCAGTCTCCCAGCAACCTCCAAAATGTGGAGTGGAGCACTGCCCAACCCTACTCTCCAAGTGCTCTGCCTCAGGGCCCAAACATACTTATATAAAATGCAATATCTGTAAAAATAACACATTATCCTGGGGCTAATCTTCTGCATTACACTACGTAGGAACCTTGCAGAATTTGGGGAGTTATATAGATTCCATCCAGCACAATTCCTTGCTTTCGGTCACAATATAAACACACATACATACATGTGTGTATGTTTGCATATGTAGGTTGGTATATTTGTGTATGATGTATGGTTATATATGTATTTACATCTAAATCTATATAAATGCATGTATATATTAGTAATTCTATACCTTTTTACAAGAGGTATCTATCAGTGAGCATATAGATAATTATTTATTTCAAATCAGGACAGGCATTATAGTGAATATTAATTCATAAGTTCAGAAAGTACCCTGCCACCTGTGGTGCAAGTAAAGAAGGGAGTCTTAGTTAAGAATTGCATTAAAATATTTGCATGATCTAATAAATTATCAGGATTCACCCAGTTTATACCCAGGGGCAGATAGTAAATGTCCCATGGTGTCGCATAGAAAAGAAAAAAGGGATGGAAGGAAGAGAAACATACAGATACAAGGGACACAGAAAGAGAGCATAGAAAAGTGTGGCCTGGCTTTGGGGAGAGATCCTCTAGAAAACTACTGGGGAAAGGTTAGGTGACCATGAAGTCCTGACAGATAGGCCCAAACCCAGAGACGATAGCCAGCCAGACTGAGTTCCTGAAAGCACCAGAGGGGGTAACATATAATTTTCATTCCTTATTTTTAATATAATTGGAATCTTCTAAATTAGTCACATAAATCAGGAAAGCATTTATGTACTTTTACATGGAGGAGTCACAGAAGATTGGAAGTTAGCGAATGTTGTGCCCATTCACAAGAAAGGTAATAGGGAGGAGTCGGGCAACTATAGGCCAGTAAGCCTTACTTCAGTAGTAGGGAAAGTGATGGAAACCATGTTAAAGGATGGGATTGTTGAACATCTAAAAATACATGGATTTCAAGATCAGAGACAACATGGTTTTACTTCAGGGAGATCATGCCAAACTAATCTTATTGATTTTTTTGATTGGGTAACTAAAATAAAAGATCAGGGTGGTACAGTAGACATTGCTTACCTAGATTTCAGTAAGGCTTTTGACACTGTTGCACATAGAAGGCTTATCAATAAACTGCAATCTTTAAGTTTGGATTCCAATATTGTTGAATGGGTAAGGCAGTGGCTAAGTGACAGGCAACAGAGGGTTGCAGTAAATGGAGTATATTCGTAGCATGGGCTTGTCACCAGTGGGGTACCTCAGGGATCTGCACTTGGAACCATTCTCTTTAATATTTTTATTAGTGATATTGCAGAAAGTCTTGATGGTAAGGTATGTCTTTTTGCTGATGATACTAAGATATGTAACAGGGTTGATGTTCCAGGAGGGATAAGCCAAATGGCAAATGATTTAGGTAAACTAGAAAAATGGTCAGAATTGTGGCAACTGACATTTAATGTGGATAAGTGCAAGATAATGCATCTTGGATGTAAAAACCCAAGGGCAGAGTACAGAATATTTGATAGAGTCCTAACCTCAACATCTGAGGAAAGGGATTTAGGGGTGATTATTTCTGATGACTTAAAGGTAGGCAGACAATGTAATAGAGCAGCAGGAAATGCTAGCAGAATGCTTGGTTGTATAGGGAGAGGTATTAGCAGTAGAAAGAGGGAAGTGCTCATGCCATTGTACAGAACACTGGTGAGACCTCACTTGGAGTATTGTACACAGTACTGGAGACCGTATCTTCAGAAGGATATTGATACCTTAGAGAGGGTTCAGAGAAGGGCTACTAAACTGGTTCATGGATTGCGGGATAAAACTTACCAGGAAAGGTTAAAGGATCTTAACATGTATAGCTTGGAGGAAAGACGAGACAGGGGGGATATGATAGAGACATTTAAATACATAAAGGGAATCAACACAGTAAAGGAGGAGACTATATTTAAAAGAAGAAAAACTACCACAACAAGAGGACATAGTCTTAAATTAGAGGGACAAAGGTTTAAAAATAATATCAGGAAGTATTACTTTACTGAGAGGGTAGTGGATGCATGGAATAGCCTTCCAGCTGAAGTGGTAGAGGTTAACACAGTAAAGGAGTTTAAGCATGCGTGGGATAGGCATAAGGCTATCCTAACTATAAGATAAGGCCAGGGACTAATGAAAGTATTTAGAAAATTGGGCAGACTAGATGGGCCAAATGGTTCTTATCTGCCGTCACATTCTATGTTTCTATGTTACAGGTGTAAGGTAGTATAAGCCAGGAACCCCATTTTCATGTGCAGAGAAAAATGGTTATGGATATGACTGTTTTATACATGGAAACCAGTGTGGTTACCGTTAAATAAGGCTTTTCTGACAATTCGCTAGAACCTATTGCAATTGAGGTAGTGGGAGAAAAGTGTGGAATGTTATTGTTACCATTGCCATCATTTACTATCATTAAATTATACAATCCCTTGGTTGTATCATGTGACTATAATGTACTAACTCTTGATAAGTACCCTACAGGGTCGAAAAGGGTTGGACATGTATTCATAAAGACTCTTTTTTGGAAGTGCTCTGAGAGCTGCCAGTTATTACGTTTATATATATATATTTGAAAAGGAATACATTGAGGAAACTGGTATTGATGAGGGGAAATTAAAGCCCTGGATAGATACAATTATCTCACCTGATCCACAGCTGCCTGGATCGAGCTCATGTCAGTCTGGATCTGGAAGAGCCTCTGGTACAGGGAGCAAATTTCTGTCAGGGAAACCCTGCAGCAGGGAGTCCGAGGAGGAAGATCCATGGTGATGCAGCTTGAGGAGGCACAGACAGAAAAACTGTCAGGGTATATTCATTGTGTTTATTTTTGTTTTGTAGGTGCAGCTGTGAAAATAGGCATGATAGGGGTAGGTAATAGACTAGGCATGTAAAACACCAGTTGTAAATATGTAAAGATTCATATTATTGCAATGTAAGCTTATAACAGCTTGTTGGCTGCAAGTCAATGCGGCAGGTAAGCAAGAGGCCTGGTCTTATGTCTTCGGAAAGTGACTGGTTTTGTCAAATTGCTTTAAAATTGTTTGAATAAAACATGGAGGGCAAAGACTCTACCATAAGCACTAATATTAATACCAAAAGCTGTAGTGGTTATTCTGGTGAAAATCACACAGAGCAATCCCTTGCCAGATCAAACTGTTTATACTTCTGCGAAGCCAGCAACTTGTTCCAGCTGCTCCCACTTAATCCCTAGGGAGCCACCCTGCTGCACCCAAAAAGAAGAAAAACAGAAGAAGACTCAATAATATATAGTGTGGTTCACTTTCACAGTTTCTTTGTTTGTGTGTAACTGTGCATGTGTCTCAGATAATGTGCATGTACGTGTGTGGAGACCATATGTCTGTGGACCCAGGCTATTTGTTTTTTAACAGGCCCAGCTGTTCCAATGTGTTGTGGAAAGGCTGAATGTCCTACCCACACACACTGCTCCCAGATGACAGATGCCTACAAGTGACGGAATGAAACAAATTTGAATGTCCAGACATTTTCTTGAAAATGTTGATTAGCAGCGTGTGATACTGTTACTCTGTAGTATATAACATTATAAATAAGCATGTTAATGCTACATTCACATTCTGAGGGGTGTTTTCATATACTGTACTACAGCAGAAATAATTCAGCTCATTGTAATTTGTTGGCACCAAACAAGGAAATAAATAAATGAATAACCAGGAAATCATTGTGTACATGGCATCTATAGTTGTAATAACAGTTTAATTCTCCGTGTTCCGGATTCACATTTTTCATATAACTTACAGAATTTCACTCTCAAATAACCTTTTTTTCTATACTCATAGAATGGTTTCTCTCCACAAATCTTGAAAATTAATAATACAAACTTCAAAATTAAACACACATTATGTTTAACTAGCTCTAAACATCATTTGCAACAGTAAACGATAATCTTCATTTCAGCCAAGTAATCAGCTATTTCAATTTGGTCCATTAGAAATTTAATTGGGGACAGTGTTAGACACCTGAGCCCTTCATTGTAGTTCATCATAGGTTTTGGCAATGTGTTAATATAATCATTTAGAAGCACTCACCTGATTTGTATAGTTTTTCTTGGTTTCTTCTAAGACAATTACTTTTTTTTCTGCTCTTTGCAGCAAACATATGCATTCTTTTCTTTCCTTTCAGTAGATTTCACTTTATCCCCAGGAAATGCATTACATGTTCAGCTGCTATTCAATATCACGTTCACTCCCCAACATACTCATTCTGTCTTTTCTCTCCAGCCCAATCCTTATAGCACTTATAAATCATTCAGTGCTGGCTCTGAGCATAGAAACTTAATAACCCTGGCTGTTCTTGCATTACAAATTGTGGAACTTCATTATTCACTAAAACAATTCCTGTAATACTAGTGTATACCAAATTTATTCATTTATTTAATCTTTTTTATTTGTAAGAGGATTCATAACACAAGCCGAAAATTAAGACAAAAGCTCTAGATCAGCGGGTGGTTGTTGATCTGTCAAGACTGACAAATGCCCATTGCATTGATCAGATGTCGGCTACATATCACAAATTTAGAATGTCAAATCATATATAGATTCTTGGATTAAGGAGACCTGCAGGGTTATTCACTAAAGGATGGCTTGTTGGGACTTCAGATTGGATTTCAAAATTGGTGATTGCTGATTTGGATTTTTTTCTAATACTGTGATCTTTAGGTTGTACGCTCATTTGAATGTCATACGTGTTTTGTTAGAATTAAAATGTTGTCTTGATTCCTGTTGTACAGCGCTGCAGAATATGTTGGCGCTATATAAATAATTGTAATTGTAACGTTTTAAGTTTACTTTGAATTCCCAAAGTGAATAGCCCACTAGGTGTTCTGAAAGGGAAACTGTCACCAAAACAACTTTATGTTAATGATGCAGTTTTTGTGTATAGATAATGCCTCTAAAATTTCACTGCTTAATTCTCTGCCATTTAGGAGTTAAATCACTTTTGTAACTGTTTTTGCTGCTCTAACCACACCTCCCCTGTCTATGACTGACACATCTTGTAAAAAACAATATGGTTTCATTTTCAATCAGATATTAACTTACTTTAAAAGTTTTTTTACCTCCTGTTCTGTAAATTGAATTTTAATTACATACAGGAGGTTCATGCAGGGTCTAGCAAGCTATTAACAGAGCAGGAGGTAAGAAATTATAAGTTAAACAGAATTTACAATAAAGGAAGTGCAAGTTTTAGATGACTCTTTACAGGAAGTATTTAAGAAGGCTGTGTACGTCACATGCATGGAGGTGTGCCTAGGGCTGCATAAACAAAGTTATTTAACTCCTAAATGACAGAGAATTGAACAGTGACACAACGCAGCTAACAATGGAGAACATATTTCTCCAATCTACGGAAGAACCGATTTCAAAATACAAAAAGTCTATCCTCTGAAACCTCCTTGACGTGGCCAAGGCATTCATTTCTACTTTCTGGAAACAAACCCAACCACAGTGGAACAATGGCTTACCAGATTAGAAGACACAGAAGAGACACATGCTACCCTGATGGGTAGTCTCACAAAACATGTAGAAGGGTGGCAACCCTGGATAATGTACATGGCGGAGCGAGGCTCGGGGGCGTGGCTGGTGGGGCCCGGGACTGAGGTAGAGCACCCAGCTTTCCCATACCTCCCCGCACACCCCTTCCAGTCCCACCCAACTTCCTGAAACCTTCACTTCTCTCCCAAACCATCATACTGCTATAATACACAATACACCCTTGAACCCCCCACAGAACTTCATAGTAAGGCAAGGAACTAAGCTGAAGGAGGGCAAGACACCTACCTCCAGGATAAACACTAAATTAGGAGACAGCAGAAAGGAACAGACAGCAGAAAGGAACAGACACCCTTGCAAACATAAGGAATGGGACATGAAACTTGGAAATCTGAGAAATAAAACACTACTTTGTACATACCCACACCCAACCGATACACTCAAGACAAACTCCCACACTGCGACTGCTTCCCCAAAAGTGACACATACGTTCAATGACAAGCCTACGCCCCACGCCATGTGGACTGTACATGACACTAGGAGGATGAACAGAGTATCTACTTCAAGCACACATTCTCTCAAACATACATACCGTACACATGAGCAAGCTTGATTAGAACTACGAAAAACACCAAACACTAGACGTGCAATTCGTTTCGGGCCGAGTATGAATTCGTAAGAAGGTACTTCTGAATGTCCGACTAGCCAAAGTGCCGCATTGCCAAAGTGCCGAATTGCCAAAGTGCCAAATTACCGAGGTCCCGAAGTTCTGAAATTACTGAATTTCTGAAGTTGCTGAAGTTGCTGAAGTTCCGAAGTGCCAAAGTTCCGAAGCACAGTATTGCCTAAGTACTAATATACTGACCCAGTGGAAGAAGAAAAATGTTACACTGTATACAATTTTAAATAAAAAGTATACAAACGTAGGCAGGATTCAGCTGTAAGCATTTGCAATACTTACAACAATCAAGTAACACACATTCATATAAAATGTAAGTTACTTGGCCAGTCAATGTAATGACAGGAATGAATAAGATGATAACTCCCTAATTCCCATGGTATTGGGGAGCTATCTACTAAAAGGCTGAAAGATCTGAATTGGTCTTTCAGCCAAATTTACTAATACTAAGTAAAGATTACTTAGTATTAGTAAATTATGCCCCTACTCGCTACACCGCGAGTAGGGGCATGTCTATTAAACAGCCTCTGGCTGCTCACTGTAAAAAAAAATAATAAAAATAAAACACGTCCCCCCTCCCCCTCTTAACCTGAAGGGGGGACCTATTTCCCCCCCGGCCCCCACCCCTGAGCGGTGGGTGGGGGCCCTAAATCAGAATAGGGGGGGACCTAATGTCCTCCCCCTTGGACCCCACCCCTGAGCAGTGGATGGGGGCCCTAAATACCAATTAGGGGGGAAAACCTAATGTCCTCCCCCCTGGCCCCCACCCCTGAGCAGTGGGTGGGGGCCCTAAATTAGAATGAGGGTGGGACCTAATGTCTTCCCCCCTGGCCCCCACCCCTGAGCAGTGGGTGGGGGCCCTAAATTAGAACGAGGGGGGAGGACCCTGGCCCCCACCCCTAAGCGGTGGGTGGGGGCCCTAAATACCAATTAGGGAGGGGACCTAATGTCCTGCCCCCTGGTCCCCACCCTGGTCCCCACCAAAGAACTTTCCCACGCTGTGTAAAATGACACAGAGCACTCTGATTGGTGGATTTCGAGCACAAGCTGCTCACTGTTTAATAGACATGCCCCTATTCGCGGTATAGCGAGTAGGGGCAAAATTTACTAATACTAAGTAATTTGTGCAGCCACTTAGTAGATAACTCCCTAATACCGTGAGAATTAGGGAGTTATCTACGCCGCTTAGTAGATAACTCCCTAATTCCCACGGTATTAGGGAGTTATCTACTGAAGGGCTGCAAGATAAGTTATCTACTAAGCGGCTGCAAGATAAGTCTCGAAGTCTCGAAGTCCCAAAATTCCGAAATGCCAAAGTTCCGAAATTCCAAAGTGTCGAAGTGCCGAAGTTGCCGAAGTCCCGAATTGCGGAAGTCCCGAATTTCGGAATGCCGAACTGAACCGAAAATTTTCCCCATGCACATGCCTAGTTTACTCCCAAGTTAGTCATTTTGTTAATCCAAAGACCAAAGCAATTTTTAGGTTATAAAACAGTTTTAAAAGAGTCACATACATAGCCAATCTTTTCATCTCTCGTAGTATGTAACTGTTGCTGGAGAG